TTTAAAGCAAAATGTTCAAAAAACAGGATAGTACCAGATGTAGCTTCTGGCAGTCAATGTTAAGGGTGTGTTTCTGGAAAAAAAAAAAAATAGCCTAGTAAATCCAGCCCAACTGGAAGCAGGAGAACTATCCTCATGAGATTTTGAGCCAAAGCTTGCATATTCAGGACATATGGATAAGCACTAGTTATCCATCCAACCCACCCAAGCTGTAACACCAAACTTTTTGAAGTTGGATTTCTATCTGTCTGTGAATCAATTTAAGAGGGAACGTGAAAAATATGCCATCAAGCACCACTATCAAAACCTTTTATTTCACGACTGTTCTTGCAAGGAGTGTGCAGTGAAACAGTTTTGCTCTCTTAGAGAAAGGAACTTTCAGCAAATGATGGGCTCAGGGCTGTAAAACCTGGAAACTCACATTCTTTAAATCGTTGGAATGACTTAGGAAACAAAGTCACATTTTGAAAAATATTCTAGGCTTATAGGAGCATAAAATTACTTGGCTTTCACTTTTGAAACTGGGATTCAGCCTCTACTGCAACTTTGGAGAATTTAATCCAGAGTCTTTTTCCTAGGGATTGTTTCTAATTTTTGTGTCCTATTAGGAGACAATGAGGGCAGTTCTCCACAAATTAGGGAATATTGAGCACTTTACAGAAGTGAGCTTATTAATTTAAATGTTTCATGTGGGGTGAAGTGAGCTAAAGCTATCTTACATATTTTAGGCACAGACAACACATATGTTTATAAATATCTGTAATCATGTACACACATATATATGGTTTTTGTGTGTGTGTATATATATATAATAACTTATGATGAACAAATAGCCTTATTAGCTGTCCTACTGCCAAAGCGTGTCAGCAAAAAACCCTTCCCAGTACCACAGTCCCGTGGCGCCAGGAACTGTGAGAACGAGCCATGGCTTAGATGGAAATGTTGTCCCAAGTAACTGAATAATCTCTCCTGAAGAGAGTCTGATTTGTTGTTTTTTTTCATCCCCACTCTCTTATTGTTTCAAATGTAAAACAAGATGTTGTCATCTTCTAGGCATCCCCAAAAACCAACAAGAAAAGACCATCAGCATTACAAAGGGATACATATTGGGATGGTACCAGACCGAGTTTCTGGCAGCAAGTGTGATGGGTGTGTTTCTGGAAGGGAAAGAAATAGGCTGGCTTTTTCTCCACATAACCACAGTCATTGTCTATCCTAAGAGCCTAATTGATTGATAAAGTGTCTTCTCTTCTTCTTGGGAAAAGCTGTGATCTGCTACCAATTTGTCAGCTTGTTCTTTTCACTCCCCCCTTAAAAACAAACAAATAGGAAAACCCATTTTTATAATCGAGATTCCCCATGAGAGCCAGTCATTGTTTTGAAGCTTTCAACAAAAAGTTAAGATTAATGGCAGGCATTCCCAGATGTTATTCTTTCTAAGTTCATTTATCCCAGAATAAAGATTCTTATTTCTAAAAATACATGGTAGAAAGCTGTCTCATAAAATAGCATCAAAGCTTACTTGGTTTTGTTGGTATTTAATTTTTCACTATGCTATCAAACTTTTGCCCACAGATCTCTGTAATCATTTGGATTTGCAACAAGGCACTCTTGCAGTAACATTTGCGTAAGACTTAACACTAGTCTTCCTTTGGGGGTTTGTTTTCATTTACCACACTAGTACTCTCCATCCTGAATCAGAGTGGCCATTTAAAAAATGACAGTGAAATGAGCTACTTCACTCTCTTACACAGCACAGCGCCATTTTGCCACAAAACGTAAGTCTTCCATCAGTGGGAATCACTAAGCTTTTATTTCTTCCAAATGGCACTAATGGCAAGTTTATTATTTTGTCACTCATGCTATTCATTACAAGCTTATTAGAAACTTTACAGATTTGCTGTTAGCTGAAACAATTCTTAGAAATGTGATGCAGAGCAATTAGGAGACGCAGTGCAAGACAATTAGGGGCTTCATCCTTCCCAAAGTCATCAGAAATTATTTTTTTTCAAGGAGGAACTTCATCATAGTGTTATGCTGAGCACTTCAGTCCCAGACTCAAGTGAAAGAGTCCCCAGGACTATTTCCCCTCATCTCATCTCTTTGCAAAGTTTGTGCAATTATTTATAGACCATGCTGTTTTTTCTTCAAAGACAAATTCCTCAGGGCTCTATTTTTAACAACAGTGTAATGCCAGCAGGCCAGCTTTTGAGAACATCCCAATGAGAGGAAAACATTATAGTCACTGCTAAATACTCCACACATCTGGGACAAGTGCTGTGGGAGGATGGGCAAATTCCTGCCTCAGGACATGAACATTGCCATGCAATGGTAGAAGAGAGCATTCACATAGTTACTCTGTGGACAAAACTTCTGGTCAGAGTCTTGGATAATGATCCTGATCCTAGCAATGATCATCTGGGCATCTCTTAGAGGTCTAGTGAGGTCATCAGGGGCCTTCCACTGACTTCAGATCAAGTTGGAAATATCTGTAGGTGGGGTTGGGAGCTCTTTGCAGTATTTTTTCCTCATGTTTCTGTATTAGGAGGCTCTGGGATTTAAAGAGAAGACTGAAATGAAGATAGCAGATTGCCTAAAAAAATGTTGTTCTTACCTAACTCAAAATCCAGTTTGATATGAGCTGAGTTTTGGGTGAATGAGAACTGTGAGCCTTGCCATTATAGATGTAAACATTGGGGGGGGGGGGTTAAATAGTGAAAGTGCTGTGAAATATAAGACATTGGGAAACAGACCAATGTTTAAATAATCAAGTTGATGGGGTTTTTTTCCATATACTAATTTTTATAAGATTGAAGTGTAACTAAGAAATTCTTTAATGGTTGGCAGAATCGCTGTAGGCAGCTACAAAAGCATCTTGCTCCTTTACTGTCTTAGCATTCCCACCCTAAGGTTTTAAAGATTATTTGAGAACTTCTGAAGGAACAGCAGTTAAAAAAATCCAGTGAGTTGTCTGTGGTTTCCTTCTTACCTTCTATGCCTGTTCAAAACAAGAGAAAAATATCCTTATTTGGTCCTTAATAATAGTAGTCATGAACCAGAAGCTTGGCTCCAAACCATTTTCAAATGTAAAGGTATGCAGATCAGCAGGATGGTATTGACAGACTCTTACTCTAAGGGGTACAAGCTTTTCACAGTTGTGTTGTGAAACTTTTGTAGGGGAAAAGAAGAATGTTGAGGTTCACCATTGTGCTTCAGCAGCTGCACAGACATAAGTGTATTTGGAAAAAAAAAAATCCCTATGTTGTCAGCATTTACAAGGCTTTTTATTCCTGTCTCATAAACAGTAAAGGGACTGCTATCATTCATTTTTGCAAGAACATTTGCAAAAAATTAAGCTTTCAGGAATGCTAAATAAAATGTATTTGCATGAATTCTGCTACCAGAAATATCTGTAAAAACATACACTTATTTGGTTTGCTTATGCCCCCCTGCTTATGAAATTCTGATGAAGGATAAAAATATAATTTTATTAATAAGAATCAGCATTGTGGTCTAGTGCTTACTGGACTGTATTTAGAACTGGGGAACCTGGGATGACTGGCTGGCTCAGATACTGAGCCACCTTCTGTCCTTGGGTCTTCACTATTCTTGGTCTATGCATCCACTTCTGCTCTTTTGTCCATCTTTCACATCTAGACTGTAACATGATGTGCATCAGCATCTCCATAGGGGTCCACCACAGAGGGTTGCCAGCTTAAGCAGGGATGATAATGCATGTAGCAGTAACAAACACTCCCTTGCAAGTTTAACATGTGGCTTCCAGCTAATTTTGCATCCAAACACAAGGTGAAATGCCCAGTCTAAGAGAATTGATCAGAGCTGGAGCTGGTCTTCCAAGATGCTGGTCTTCCAAGCTTGTGGCAGCAAGTTGTAGTGAAAAAGGATGTACCTCTCTTAGGGTTGCCTTTCTGCCTGGCTCTTCAGCCAGCTGCCTTCCTCTCATTTGGAGACCTCAGTATCAAGCATTAATCAAGTATTGATCCTCCCTGTACACTTCAGGTTATGCCCCATAACTGGTCTCTTTTACTACTTTGGATTTTTATAGTACTTTCATCCCAATGGATAGCTAGCTGTTCATATACCACCTTTAGCTTCAGTGCACAGCCAGCTGCAATCCCCAGGGGGTTCTGTTCCATGGACTGGGTGTTAATAAGCATTCTCCAAAATACAGGCAGTGAGGTAATTGTACTGCTTCTGCCAACACCAATTCAGCCATGTCTTCCCACCTCAGCAGCTAGTTCTTGGTGTAGGACTGAAAGCACATACTGTTTAAAAAAAATGCAGTGTAACTTTGGGGACTAGATGTGGAGGAGTCTGTTGGAGCCTCTTAAAAACTCTGGAGGGTAGAAGCAGCATTTTTTACCTGGGTGAAAACACTTTGATGGGCATAATAAAATCCCCTTTACAAGCAACTCAATCCTGGCTGTAAGCATGAAACCGTTTCTCCTTCCAAAGTGACACTTAGGCTGCTGTTCATAGCCCAACGAGTGCAAAATGGACAATTGTGCATTTGCTAAGAAGTGTGTATTTCATTAGAGCTGTGGTCAAAGAATTGTTTTGGGGGTTTGATGGAATAAATAGCTGCAAGTACTGTGGGAGTTCAGCAATGCAGACACTCAGCCCTGTCCTATAACAAGCTCCGACATCTCTTCCTAGATTTTTGTAATGGAGGTGAAAAGCAAAGCTTTATCATTATGCCAAACAGCTCCAGCACAGGCCTCTCTACCATCAGTGGGACTGGAAAGAAGGCTTAGGAAGCAGAAACATTTAGAGGAGCATCTATAACATGTGGCCAGCTCTGAATAAAAAGAAACAGCAACAAAATGTAAACATTAGATGCCATCAGGTAACTTGATGTGGGTGTGGGGTAACAGCAGAGAGAGGGCTAAGATCTCGGGGAACTCCTTCTGCTACCAAGCCAGCCTCCCCCCCTTCCTCCAGCGCATACGTTTCCCCATCCCTCATCCTTTCTGGAATACCTTTCTTCCAGCCTCATTGTTGTGCAAGTTCATCAGCCTCCGTGCATTCTTTTTGATTTCTCGGGCATCAACAAACCTCCGGGAGAACTCAATGCCGTATCTGATATCCGCAGAGCAGCCTCCCCACTTCCAGCCCTCCTCCTGGTTGTAGTAGCCCTGTTTCTCTCGGTCACAGCCACAGTTGCTGAGGTTGCCCTGGCTGCAGGCGGCCGTGACAGCGTGTGCAACCCCGGCAGCAGTAATGGCATAGGTGAATGCAGCTTCCCTGCTTCCTGTGGAGAGAAGCCAAAAGCTGATGGGTTGGCAGAAAAGCAGCACTTACTTACTAAAGAAAGTACACACATTATCTACAGCAACGGTGTCAGGAGGGCATTCCTTCTTGTAATACGTATTTCGAATGCTTGGCTCAACTGGGGCTCATCACTCCAGTTAAGCACCAATCATAATGATAGTCCCATCTAACCCCCTTCACCAGAGGGCAGTTTGAGCCTGGACAGTGGTGAGGTGAGGCAACACAATTTGTTTTTACATTGCCTAGTCAGGTCTGCAAGCTGAACTTTTATCTATTTCAGATGAATCATGGGCGAGTCACTGGCAGCAATGCTCACTGGAAAACAATAGTTCTAACCACTGGCACTGCATGGAAAAAGAAAAGTGTTCCAACAAGATAAGGAACACCAAACCCTTTCAGATGTGTGAGGGCTAGGACAGAAATGGGGAATACTATTAATCCACATTTATAAATTTGCTGGTAGCACCCATTAGTGATCCTGAGTGTAAAGCATTGCAAGAGAGGCCTGTGAAGACAAGAGCTAGGTAGGGTTTGTCTTCTTTCAAGGTAAATTAGAGGCTCTCCCTTTTGCTTGGTGAATTCTCTTGCATAACAGTTTTACTGGAATGACCACTTTCCACCCCTACTCTGCCTCAAAACTCCACATTATTTTGGTTGTTGAACATAGAGGGGGTATGGAAGTGCTGTGGCAACATGATTTCTTCTCCAAAACAAGTGAGATACTGCCATGGGAGAACAGACTTGTGTAGAAAAAAAAAAAGTCCTTTAGTTATTTGTTGTTGTTGTTGGGTTTTTTTTTACTGTGATGCCACTAGTTACCAAGGTTCCTCATTCCCAATTCCAAGTTAGAGCCATAGATACTGAGTATACTAGAAGAGGCAAATATACCCACTTTCTCTCCTAGAAGCAAGTTGGCTGTTGCCTGTGAGATGCACCTAAGCAAGGAGTTGTAGAGGCAGAACAATGAAGAGGGGTGCTACAGCCCATTCCTCTCATGTGAGACCAGGCCCTGTCAGTGACTTAATGCAGAGCTGCATTATGGTCATTGCTGTTTTGCTGTTCATATTTATAACATTTCCCTAGAAGTTCCTTTCTCAGTGCTATGATCGTTTTCCTCTATCTGTTTATCTGCTGATAAACAGACAGTCTTTTAATACTGCAGCCAAAGAATAACTGTAAAGAATTTGCAGAAAGTTGCTGAAAAGCTTTAATGACCACACACAGAGCTTTCACATCATTTATGGATTTCTGAAGGACAAAAAGAACACATTTTCCAAAGGAGAAAAAATCCCCCAAAGCTTGGAAGCTGTTTATAATTTTTTTATTTTAGGATTCACAGATATCATAACTCTCTGGAATGACCAGTGCATGGTGTGAGGGGTTTTTACATTTTACATTTCTCATTTTCATGGATGGCTTCCTGAAAGGTTAAACCACTGCCAGATATGAGAGGATCCTACAAAAAATAATCATAAACTGTTTTTTGGCACCATTTACTTGTTTCTCCAAAGCAATAAAAAGCAATTTAAGGTAAGAGAAAAAGAAAAGGTTGCCGTGTTCTTCAAGTACCAAGAAGGTTAAACTGACTAGTGTATTGAGTACATCGTGCAATTGAAGGACTGGCTTTGCTTTCAGACACAGAAGTGTTTTGTTGGGGTGTACGATGTGTGTAGTCTGGTTCAGTGGTTCCCAAACCGTGGTCTGCAGAACACTGGTGGTCCAGGAGGCTACGGTGGAGGGTTCTCGGCTAATCCGCAGAGCCATATTAAACACTGTTTTTAATAGTGTTTTCAATTAAAAGTTTGATGATAACGATGTCTGGTGGTCTGCAATAAATTCTGAGGGTTGATAGCCATCCAAAAAAAGTTTGGGAACCTCTTTTCTAGTTAGTAGTGTGTTCTCTAAGAACGCATATTGATATTCACTACTCTCTTCATCCGCCAGCTGAAGTAAAAGCCAAGGTCTGTGTTTTAAAAGGTATCCTGTTAACTTGCACAATTTCTTTCTTCATCTCCTTTCAAAACAATCTATTCTTAATCTATACAGTGAAAGATTGGAAATATTAAACATAATAAAAACTATAAATATAGATAGATTTTCCTTCCTCTTCGGGCTGAGAGTAAACGAGAGTGAAAATCAGAACCAGGAGATTTTTTTAGTTCAAACACCTTTGAAACACATGTAGAAATGCTTATAAACAAGCAGAAACATATTCCTGTCAGTGAAGAGAGCAGCTGTGAGCTGCAGGTCAGTAGATTTACTCAGAGATTAACCAGAGAGAGGTTGCTTACATTTTATGCTTAAGCTCAATGTATTTCACATGTATCCCGAACAGATGATGAACCAGTTTAGCATGACCACCAACCATATCTGTCACCTGTCCATGAGCTTTCACAAGGCACTTCTCTTAATCAGTTTTTGTAAAACTAAGTATCATCTTGTCTTTATCTACCTTTTGCTACCCCTCCTCATTCCCATTGTACCACCAATTAACTTCAGGAGCAGAAGAACCTATCTTTCCTTCACCCACTTGAGAGCCATAGCCATGATGGAATTATCTCAAGTCACAGGATAATACTAAATGGAATCCATATTGACTTTCTGAAGAGATTAATCATCAGCTTCAATGCAGCTCTAACATAGGAAGGCCTCTGAAATAAGGTCTGTCTTGAAAATTCTACTTCCTCTTGCAAGTTAAGTTGTCCTGCTAAGAATTTGGGTTTTTGGATTTTAGGTTTGTTTTTTTTAACCAGAGGATGTTCCAAAACTTCCCTCGAATATCAGCGTAAGCTTTACCTCAGCAGTTCTCTAAAGTCCTAGGATCAGTAAAGTCTATCAGAAAATGCTGATAGAGGAGGGAGGGGAACCTCTGTGTTCAAATAATGTCTGCTGTACACAAAGCTTTCTGTTAGCATGTCATCACTTGCAATCAGTTCTAAGCAAGTCTTTGTGAGTCAGCTGAAAATATTTAAGTAATGATTGCTGTGATACCTGAATGGAGAACAATAATCTCATTTTATGGAATTTTCTGGGATTTCAAAAATATTCTTGTTCTGCAGCAAAACAGAAGAAGAATTCTTGTTTGTCTTTTTGATGTTTTCTGTCATGTAGACCAGAATAATTCTGTTGAGATGTTATTTTGGTAGAAAAGACATTTTTTGGTGCTAGCTTTGGATTCATCCATTTCCCTCTTAGCAATCCCTGCTTCAGTGCCAAAGAAGACAGTTCTGATTTAATTCCCAAAACAGTGAATGAACGTTTTAATTAGTAACATAAATGTTACTTTATCTGATCTGATGACTGTCTGATCTGATAACTGTCTGACCCAATGACTCCAATAGGAGATCATCTCCAGTACTCATTGAAATTAAGCCTTTTGTCTTTGATGAAGGTGCTGAAGGTCACTTCTTGCAATCTGCCAGGCTATGAGAAAAGTCTGGCCTGTGGTCTGCTGGTCTGAGTTGCCATTTGATTGAGTTCATTTGCATTCTAACTGAGGGCTGTATTTTTAAAATGCTCTAATGCCTAGCAATGCAGGCAGCTGCTGCTCAGACAGACAGATATTGAAACATTGCTTCCCAAAATGAGTGATTTCTGGCAGATGTGGTGAGAGGAGCCTTTTATCTGTTGTTGGAGTTGTGGAGCAGCCTATACTTCACTTCTAATTTCAATATCATCTCTCCCTAGGCTTTAGATTGCTAACTGAGTACACAACTTAGCATTGTCTGATGTGGGTACTATTACAAGTTCCATAATTGCTATAGTTTACTACACTCTCATTTCCACAAATTCAGCAGTGTATTTTCAGCAGGTAAACACAATCAGCTGGGAATCAGGTATGTTAAATACTAATCTTAATAATTCAGTTGCGAGTGCAGGGTTAAAGATTTAATAGTTTCATAGTTATTAGCAATACATCTATTTTTCTAAGTAATTAGATGAAAATATGGCTATTCCGCACGCCATTCTAAAGTGTCTTTTGTCAGCAGCTAGATGAATGACTGCCACTGACTGTCAGCTCTTACAACTGTAATTTAACTTTAAATGTTAAACTATAGAATAGACACTGTTTATCCAGTAATTTGCTAAATCTTGGATCAACAATGATAGAAAAAAAAATACTACTCGGTGCTGTTAAACAAAACATGTTCCTCGTGTACTTACACAAGACACCAGATTGATTATATGACACAATACAATATAGGTCAGTGGTAAGAAGAAATGCACCATGGCAGAAGTTTGGGGATTTTTTGCCAAACCTCTCCCTTTCAACAAGTCATCTTTTGCAAGTGAAAGCAGAGGACACATTGAGTCATTGTTTATGGGCAAAAGACAATAGATACATCTCGATGAGTAAACCAAAACTCAGACAACAGCACCCTAAGTGGGGTTGGGTGAAGACTTTTACAGACAAGTTTAGTTCCTTTGTAATTTAGTATTTTATTCAACACACTCATTAGCAATTCACAAGAAAAATGGTACAGACTCTTCTATTTGAATTCGATCCAAGGGCAATCCAAGTCAGTGAGAGTTTTGCCACTGGAGCAGATT